ATGCAGTCAAATAGTATGAGACATCCAACGAACAATGCAATAGGCCAGGATTACAAAATCTAGAAACAGTAGGTAGAGTCTTAGACCTGGAATGGAATTTTAAAAATAGACAACAATGCAGTTAGGGTTGCCAACTCCAGGCTGGGAAATTCCTGGATGTTTGGAGGTGGAACGGGGGAAGGCAGGGTTCGGAGAGGAGAAGACCTCAGCAGCAATGTAATGCCATAGAATCCACCCTCCAAAGCAGCCATTTTCTCCATGGGAACTGATCTCTGTAGTCTGGGGATCTGTTTTTATTCTGGGAAACCTCCAGAAGCCACCTGTAGACTGGCAACCCTAAATGAAATGGAGTGAGATGATAATACAATAAAAACCTCTTCCCTTTATAAAAGTGCCCTTCCCCCTGCCCTTGGCACACAGTCAATGATCCCCTCACCTGACCCCTCCTTAGAAAATACAACAGTATGTTTGGGGAAGCCTTGTCCAATAATGTTGCGCACTGACTTGGCACTTTATTCTTCCAGATTTTGATAAGCTTAAAGTAGAGGCCGATGCCAAGAAGAAAGAATGGAAGAGAAAGCACGGTAAGATAATCTCAAGGCCGGAGGCTCTGCCCGTCCTGCATTAGCTGTGTTCATGATCAAAGAGATCATCTTCTGTGAAGGATATTAAGCCTCTGATAGAAGGATGGGAGAAGAGAAGCAAAGTTGTGACAGAGGATATTTGTAAAAATTGGGGCCAAAGTGGGAGGTGGGGAATTTTAAAAAGAAAAGGATTTTAGAAGCCCGACATGCTTGATAGAGGGTTCTAAAGTTGGTTTAGGAACACTTAGCAGAATTGCATACACACAGTGCTATTCATTTGGCAGCATGTCCCGTTACGGGGAAGTGAACCCTGAGCCTCCCACAGCTACACGGATGGTCCTCCTTTAATAGTGTTACCCAAATGGGGCCTGTTGCCTGGTGTGCCAATACTCAATGGTGCACCACAAATAAGAGATACACAGTAAAGGATCTACCCTCAAAAAAACTTTGTATAAATATCAAAACAAATTCAACACACTCATTGAGGAATTTCACATTACCCTTTTTAACCTGTTTTGAAGCCGTTTTTGATCTGTCATGGAGTAAACTGGTATAGGGCTGCCATTTCACATATGGCTTTCCCCTTCCGGTAAAGAGCTGTCTCTGAAGCGGTTTGCCATTTCAAACTGCACCACTTTTCCCCGCTTTTCCCCCGCCATTTTTCGCCCATGCGGGCGATCTCCAGCTTTTTTTTTTTAACATTCGCTTTAGAGCGCTATAGCACTATAACAAAACACTCCAGGCATTTCAATGGGGTTGATATAATGCTGTTGTGTTATGCTCCTTATCACTTGCCTTGAAAACCCCCTCGTCCTGGGGTCCTCATGAGTCAGTTGCTGACTTGAAAGCACAGAAGTATTATTAATTACTAGTGGTTTATATGGTAATTAAAGACATTCAGGGGACTGGTTGCTATGGAGTTTAATAAGCAAACAATAACAACAGATTGTAACATCACATCTCCGTCTACCTTAACATAGAAACACTGACATTCACAAAAGGAAGAGTATAAACAAATTGCTTGTATAATGAAAGTCCAGCATGAATTGTTACAAGACTGAATACATTATAATTTCCTTCTCAGATAAGGTCAGTTCCCGACTCTTCACTAAGCAGGTTCCAATATTACTTAAGCAGGTTCCAATAGTACTTCACACGTTCACTAGCTGTGAAGTTAAAGAACTTCCCACCCCGACCGAAGTGCTCTTGGGGGTATGTTAAAGAACTTCCTGCGTATCGCTGATGCTTCTTCAAAAGAAGAACCTGAAACTTGAGAACAGAACCATAGAAGCAAATATATTATTTGAAAAATGTATGAAACAAACCTCTAAGAATAAAAACTTTTCAAATTGAACCCTCTTACCAAGATTCAAAGTCTCTTGTAATTCCTTTCTTTTAGCTGTTCTTGAGGTCAGTGATTCTCAGATAGATAGGAAATGTCCTCGTATCAAATTTAAAGGCTGAGGGACCATTCGTAAAGAGATCCTTACCCAAATGTAGAGAATTGCTTCTTCTAAGACTTACATGAGGAATGTTTCAAACATGAACAGCAAAGCTTATAAATAACAACTGTAATCTATATCCTGATTCAAACCATAGGGGACTAAAGTGTTGAGTTTATGAATCAACTTTGCTTACAGTTGCAATAAAAGCTTACTGATGTCAATTTCATCATACAAATTTCCTTGGAAAAAGATACAACACAAAGAATAGAAGAGAATCTGGACTATGATTAAATCTAATAAAATGATCCACGAGTGCCGCTTCATTATTATGGCTACGGATGTGGGATCGGTGTTCCAGGATTCTCACTTTGACGGGTCTAATGGTACTCCCAATGTATTTGCAATACTCCCTTGACGGGTCTAATGGTACTCCCAATGTATAATAAATTGCAATCACATAAAATGCAATATACACATTGTTTTGAATTGCAGTTAGAAAATGCAGACAAGGAATATTTAAATTCAGTCCCTGGATGCACAATATCTTTTAGATCTTCATTTGGGTGAAATACAAGGAATAGGCGCTATGAGTCTTTTTCCCAACCATGTCAGTTGGCAGCCAGGAATGTCCTGCACCACATGCCAATAACATTCTACTATTATCTTTATGCTATATGCATAATTAGAATATTCCAATGTTGTACAATCTGCACAGAATAGAGCTGGATTGGTAGACAGGAAAAGTATGTTGGCTAAGAAACTGACTGCAGAAACTCAAAAACAGGAACGCATCACTTGCTCATTGGAATATTCTAATTATGCATATGCCAAGAGACACTGAAGTATTCACAAGACTTTGGCGTGTTCCCTTCTTTCATGCTTCTATCCAGCTTGAGGCACATAACCCCCTAACCTCTGGAGTCAGGTCTGAGGCCCTCTTGCCTCTGATCTAGCTTTGGAGAGAAGCCAAGAGCAGACTGACAAGCTAGGTAGACAGACCCTTAGGATATGAATTGAGCCCACTGAGCGCACGCAAAGGATGGGGAGTGCCCGTGGCTAGGTGGTAGAGCATCAGGTTTGCGCTCAGAAGGTCCCCGGTTCATTCCTCAGCATGTCTAGTTTCATGCAGGATCAGATAGAAGGTGATATGAAATGCCCCCACCTGCGGCCCTAGAGAGACCCTGCCAGTCAGAGTAGACAAGGCAAACCTTGATAGACTATGGGTTTGACTCAGTAGAAGACAGCTTCGTGAGACGCTTGGCTATGATGTACCACCAGGTGGCACTGTTGGAAGCAAAGCCAGGTACAGGTGATCAGGTTTGGTCTTTTCGTCCCTGAACAGGTCCACATTTTATTGAACAACTGAAATGGAAGGTCAATGAGGAATGTGAAGTGCTGCTGACTTGCAAGGTAAAGGGTATGCTCTCAACACACCGATGTGTTCATAAAAATGAAAAAAACCCAGAGACAAATAATACCGGCAGCTAATAACCCTTTAATATTTTGCAAACCAAACAGATCTTGCCCAGGGTTTCCAAGTTATACTTTGTTGGGATTCTTATTTAAGTACATCAGCAGAGTATTAAAGAGACTGAGTCCATGGTGACTCCCCACTGGGGCTAGGAATATGTGTCCTATGTGAAAAGGGAGCGGGGCAGTTGCTTTGTTTCCCCATTGTCTGTCTTCTAATAAATCTTCCTCCCCCTTCCCTCCATTTGCTTTCCAAAGGCAGGGAACATGAAGAAGGAAAGTACCTTCAAGTGGTTCATGAATAACAAATCCCACTCAGATGGCCAGTATGAGCCAAAGACCGGAGATGGGACCCTTCGGATTAAGAAGGTAAAGGCCCTCAAACCAGGATGCTAATGAATGTCTGAAGCTTTTCTTACCTTGAGTTGGACCATGGGTCCCTCTCTAGTTCAATGTGGTCTACTCTGAGGGTCTAAACAGATGTGGATGAAGTAAGAATTTTAGAAGGGAAAAGAAGGGCTCAGGTGGACATTAACAGACTGATCTGTTTCCTTTTGACGTTCCTTCACTAACCCTTCTTCTTGTTTTGGTGTTGGTTTAATTGTCCGGGTTTTATTACACATATTTTTTAAAGCTTGTTTTAATGGTTTGGATTGTTTGTCACCTTGGGGACCCTAGCATTAAAATGTTTTTAATTAATTAATATATTAATTAAGCAGTGGGGAGACTGAAAGGAGGACAATAAGATTCCTGGGACAGAATCTCAGCATAAAGCAATGCTGTGATTTGCCTCTGGCCAGTCTACGCATCACTGAATGTTGTTATTTTCATTGGCCAGATTACCAAAGCAGACAAGGGAATATACAAAGCTGTGGTTTCTGATGATCGTGGACAAGATACCACTGAACTCGACCTTACAAAGGAAGGTAACTGGACTGATCAACTCATTATAAAGTCCTTGTGCCTGCCAGGCATATTTCTATCAGATGTTTATTTGGAGTTCCCTGCTGGGAAGTTAATTCCCAGACATGGAAAGGCCCAGTTCAGATCAAGACTGTGGTGCTTGGGGAGAACGGGTAGAAGCCTTCCACCAATGCCATTTTTCGTAGCCTGAAATAGCCTCCAGAAGCTACTGTTGGGGTAATTTACTTGTAGCCATAGTTACAAATTAAGGCCCCGGTCACACGGAGGATTTCCCACGCTAAAGGCACGATGGTCAGGCGGATTTTGGGGGCGCGATCACACCGCACCATCTGGGGAGTGTAGCGCACCCGTGGCCAACCCATGGTGTCCCACCGAAGATGTGCAGTAAAAAAGTACCTCGGAAAGTGCACTCGTATCCGGAAAACGCGGGGCAGGGGCGGGTGTCTGATCGCGGGAGCGCTAGTATCCTGTGGCATCTGGTGCCCATCCACATCCCATCACAAACCGGATGTTTTTCGTAAGCGCATGCGCACAAACACATAACTGAAAGCAGTGCTGCTCCGCGGAACTGCGCATGCACACAAACGCGAAACGCTTGCCGCGCTGCTTCTTTGCCATGCTCCAGCATCGCCATGTGATTGCCAGCTAACAGCCTAAACGCGAAGACTCGAGGGACCGTGTGATCGGGCTACTGCGCTTATTTTGCTCTGGGGCAAACAGCCACGCCTCCCCCCCTCCCCGCATTATCTGACCCGTGTGACCGGGGCCGAAGTTTCCCTATTGGGGCTTTGCTTCAGTTGGGCAACGGTTCCCTTGGGTGAAGTTGGGTCAGTCACTCTTTCTTGGTGTAACCTACCTCACAAGATTGTAGTAGTGAGGTTAAAACGGAAGAGGGCAGACCCTGGTCCCTGAGGAAGGGCAGGATCTAAAAAAAACTTGTAAATAGAAACCCACCTTGGTTCTGTAACTGCCGGATGCAAAGGTTCTTGAACTCAAATATATTAAACATATATTAAAAAGAATTAACTTAAAAAAAAAGAGTGCTGCCCAGTTAACTGGGGGACACTTTTTTGTTTATGATTTTTTTGATTGACGGTGTTTGCTATTGCTGTGTGTGTGTTTATTACCACTCAAGAACTTTTTAAAATTATCTTTGATAGCATTTGATGACATCCTGAAAGAACTTGCCAGGATCAGTGGTAAGCCATTTTTATTTTCTAATCCTGATGACAATAATACTGTATAAAGATGCAAGCAGATGTGATTTTCACTATATATACCAGAAAAAACAAAACAAAAGAGGAGGCCTGATCATCTTTCTCAAGTCCATTTCTTTTCACATCCTCCACTTAGTTCTTTCTGCATCACCGTTGAAAGTCCAACCAACTGCAGAAGGCATCAAGATCTACAGTGAAGTGAAGTACTACACTGATGCCATGAAAGCCACCTGGTATCACAAGTATGTCTTTCCCATGTATTTTTTTTTAAGTTTCCTAATGTGTGTGAACTGTCAGTGTGTACATAGCTGTAGGGCGCACAAAAATGTTCTCCAGATATTTGTAAAGTCGCTGGTGAGCCTGTCGTGGAAGCAGACACACCACCAATTGTGCCATGATAACGTTCTATAATTCTGTGTTTTCAGCAATAAACATCTGGATAGCGGAGACCGGCTGAAAACAGGAACAACTATGGACCAGATCTGGGTACACATACTGGACCCCAAAGAGTCTGACAAAGGAATATATACCCTGGAGCTGTTTGATGGACAAGAGTCACGTAAACTATCGACAGACCTCTCTGGGAAAGGTAAGCAGCAACTGATGGCTTCTCAGCTCAGAGATGACCCTCCTCTGAGCACCAGTGGGAAAGAGAACCTTCCTATCTTTCGTGCTTAGAAAATGGTCGCCATGTATCCTCAGTACAATGTGTGGATAGGTGCTGTGGATGTACCACCTCCCCCAGAGAGAAAAACAATTGTGGGATATTCCTGCAAGTTATTTCATTTAAATTGTATGTGTGTGTTTTTATTGTCCATTTCCTTACACTAGAATGATAAGCAGAGTAACCCAACAGGGTCCACGAAGGGAAAGCATAAGGTGGGGTCATGTCAAAAGAAGTTAAATGGGAAACATTATGGAAGCAACACAATTGAAGCTAATGGGACTGCTGACCAAAGCCCTTCTCCTTCATTCCACAAAAAGTACCATCTGTGATTTCACCCAGTGGTCAAGCTCTAGTACCATCCCACAGACCCACCCTGAGGGGGAAATTCAACCTATTAACCACACCATAATTCAGGATGGAGCCTGGTTTGGTCTGGATCTGAGCTGAAAGAAAATTTCACATGTTCAAAATTCAGCAAAACTCCAGGTGTTGAATTCAACTTTTTGTACATGATTTGGAGAGATGCCATATTTACTGCAGTGAAACTTTATAAAACAATGCTACAGGAGACTGAGAGTAGTGTGTTCATAATACAAATGATTTCAAAATGGCTGTGCCCTAGATTTCAACTTCCCTTGGCTAGTGTTCCACAGAACTAGGTTCCCCCCTGTAGAACGCACATCTTCTCGAACACTTCAGTTCCTTTACAGGGTTCTTCTGAAAGACTGATGAAATCTCATGTCTTGGTCTGAATTTGCTTTGTTTATGCTTTTCCAGGTGCAATTTGTAAACATTCTCTAAATTGTAAAACAAATAAACAAAAAACCCTTTTTTTATGAGGCTCTTGTAATGCCAATGGTGGCCCCATTCTCTGTGTCTAAACTGGGCATGCGCAGCCCCCTGAAGGGGCAAGTAACACCTCTTGGGGATGTTTTTGGATCAGGAAAACAGCACAGAGAAGAAGGCTGAAGCCTCTTCTTCCTCTGCACCGTAGTCCCAATCCAAACTGGGCCCCTGCGTCGCTGTGGAATTGAGTTCTCACAGGGTCCTTGAGTTCTCTTAGTTCCAAAGTTAACTGGCTGTTGAAATAACAGAAAATCTGTTTAAAATGACCATCTGTTTCTGTCATCTTTTCTGTACCTCCCTTAAAATTCTATTTTTAAAAATGTTAATAAGGAAAAAACTGAGTTTGGGAACTTTCCCGGAGATTAATGAAGAACCTATTACCGGGGTCCACACATAGGTTCAGAACTTGTACTGGGATACCAGCTGTTGTGATCATGTTTTGATGGTAGAGAAGTGCAAAATCATTCAGTGCAAAATCTCTCTTCGTTTTATTTTTATTTTTTTGCAGCTTTTGACGATGCACTGGCTGAACATCAAAGGCTCAAGTGAGTTTTCTGCTCCCATCAGCTTTCCTTTTTAACAAGATTCAGATTTCTACTTGTCATTTGACTGTATTTTGGTCCAACACGGCTTCCCCCAGGCAGGGGGAATGACTGGCAGGCATCAAGACCCAAGAGAGAGTTGAGATTGGTGTGATCAAGTCTCGGAGGAGGCTTGTATTACATTTTGATCCCCTCTCCCGAAGTGGGCGAGCGCATTCAGGGGGTGTGGCCTTATGACACACTTCCGGTGATGTCAGGGGGTGTGGCATATGCTAATGAGTTATGCTAATGAGTTCCCCTAGCTCTTTTTCTACAAAACGACCCCTGACCAGGGCCAACCCTGTTTAGCTTCCAAGACCTGACGAGATCGGGCTAGCTGGGCCATCCTTGGAGGGAGAGCAGAATCAAAAGGTGCCAGATCCACAGATTCTGAGATATCCGCTTAGGATCACTCAAGACATACCAGGAACCACCCGCAGGTCTTTTGAAAGAGCAGTTTGTTTATTTATCTATTTAGAAGAAGAGATTGGATTTATACCCCGCCCTTCACTACCCAAAGGTGTCTCAGAGTGGCTTACAAACTCCTTTCCCTTCCCCTCCCCACAACAGACACCCAGTGAGGTAGGCGGGGCTGAGAGAGCTCTTGACAGAAACTGCTCTTTTTTCAAGAAAAGCTCTTATCAGAGCCACGGCTTGCCCAAGGTCATCCAGCCAGGTGCAAGTGGAGGAGTGGGGAATCAAACCCGGTTCTCCCAGATTAGAGTCCACGCACTACACCAAACTGGCTCTCTATTTATGTTATTTATATTCCACCTTTCTTACTGGGACTCAAGGTGGATTACACAGAATGTATCAATGCAATCAACAGGATGGGACATCCAATAGACACTGCAATATGACTTAGCTTGAGAAAGTAGCATTAGGTTGTTGTGTGGGTTAAATGGGGTTACCCCCATGAAACAGGAGGTCAGAGATTCAGGACTGCTGCTATGGCAATGACTATTAGATTTGCATTTAAACAATAAAAAACTTGCTAATTTTTTAATGTTTCATTTTCAGGCAAGCAGCTGTTGTAGAAGAGTGTGAGTATATGACAGTGCACATCTTTTGGTCCCAGGCTGATTTTCATTGATGATCATATATCTAATAGTGACTGGTGGCCCCTCCATGGAGATAAAAAAATCTGCAAGGGTGGGGCACCCATCACTAAAGTGGAGGCTTTTAAAAAAAAAATTCTAAGGGTGTTTTTTCGTTTTTTAACTTTTAAGAGGGAGGACTCCTTTAAGTCTATTTTGAATTAGTGCTCATTCTTCCCCCAACAATTAAGGAGGACTGGTATTAATAAAGGGGTTGTGCAATATCTTTTGTGATATATAAAAAGACGATACTTAGATGTTTGGATATATGATTCTTTCTATGCGTTAATGTTTATACGATAACGGATACAAGAGGGAGGACTCCTTTAAGTCTATTTTGAATTAGTGCTCATTCTTCCCCCAACAATTAAGGAGGACTGGTATTAATAAAGGGGTTGTGCAATATCTTTTGTGATAGATAAAAAGACGATACTTAGATGTTTGGATATATGATTCTTTCTATGTGTTAATGTTTATACGATAACGGATATAATGGTGAATAACTTATAAGAAACATAGAAAAAAATAATATAAAAGCGAAAACATATATAAAATTACTTGAGATATTTTGTAATTGTCTGTAGCACGGTATTTGCTGATTTTGGACTGGCATCATGACAAAAAGAATATGCTGGTAAAAAAGGGTGAGGGGATGATGAAAGTGGGAACTGGGGAAGGAAACAAGGAAGGAGGGGTGGAAAGGGGGTAAGCTTGCCAAGTCCCCCCGGGAGGCAGGGAAACCCCCGCCCCAGAGGCCCATTCCCTGCGGCCAGCAGATCGGGCCCTGGGGCGGAACCCCACCCCGACGTACGTGTCACCCGGAAGTGACGTGATGACGCTGGGCACATTGGGGGCGGGGCCACGGTCATCCGAGGGAAAACTCTATGGTTTCCCCTCGGATGGTTGTGGCCCCGCCCCCAGTGTGTAATAAAGGGGTTGTGCAATATCTTTTGTGATAGATAAAAAGACGATACTTAGATGTTTGGATATATGATTCTTTCTATGTGTTAATGTTTATACGATAACGGATATAATGGTGAATAACTTATAAGAAACATAGAAAAAAATAATATAAAAGCGAAAACATATATAAAATTACTTGAGATATTTTGTAATTGTCTGTAGCACGGTATTTGCTGATTTTGGACTGGCATCATGACAAAAAGAATATGCTGGTAAAAAAGGGTGAGGGGATGATGAAAGTGGGAACTGGGGAAGGAAACAAGGAAGGAGGGGTGGAAAGGGGGTAAGCTTGCCAAGTCCCCCCGGGAGGCAGGGAAACCCCCGCCCCAGAGGCCCATTCCCTGCGGCCAGCAGATCGGGCCCTGGGGCGGAACCCCACCCCGACGTACGTGTCACCCGGAAGTGACCTGATGACGCGTGGGACACTTGTGAGCGGGGCCACGGTCATCCGAGGGAAAACTCTATGGTTTCCCCTCGGATGGTTGTGGCCCCGCCCCCAGTGTGCCCGGCGTTGTCACGTCACTTCCAGGTGACGTGTGTGCGGCGCGCGCGCTCCAGCCGCACTCCAGCTGCCAGCAGGGAGTCCCCCGCTCCGATGAAATTTTGACTTGGCAACCCTAAAAGGGGGAGCGAAGGAGAACCAGGAGGGGAGGGCAAGCAGGACCTCACAAGGAAGGGGAAGGAAGCAGAGTGGGACTGAGAGGAGGGAGAAACAAAATGGAGGCAGCAGTGTGGATGAAGGCCACCAAGGATTGGGGGGCAGAAGCAGGAGCAAGTGCAGGACAGAAGCAGAGGCATGATCAGGAAAAGCAGGGGAGGGAAAGTGGACTCAGTACAAGGTGAGTGGCTGAATGTGGAATAGTGTTAACAGCTCAGGATTGGGAAATACCTGGAGATTTTGAGGGTGGAGCCTGGGGAGGGGAGGGGAGGGGCCTCAGTAGGGTCTGTTGTTCAGTCCTACAGTCTAGTCCGAACTTCACAACCCCGTGGACCACATCACGGCCGGCCCTCCTGTCTTCCGTCATGCTCTGGCGTTTGCTCAATTTCATGTTCGTTGCCTCGATAACACTGTCTAACCATCTCATCCTTTGCCATCCCCTTCTTCTTAAACCTTCAGACTTTCCCAGCATCAGGGTCTGCTCCCTTCTCATTTGGTAGCCTTAGTTTTTTGGTTGTTGAGTTTCAAGCCAACGTTTGCGCTCTCCTCCTTCACCCTTAGCAAGAGGCTCTTTAGGTGCTCTTCACTTTCTGCCATTTGGCCAACACTAGGGTACAATGTGATAAAATCCACCCTCCAGAGCAGCCATTTTCTCCAGGAAAACTGATCTCTCTTATCTGGAGGCCAGTTATCATAGCAGGAGATCTCCAGGACCCATTTGGAGGATGGCAACCCTAGAGTGGAAGGGGATTTCCAACCCACCCATGAGGCCTTGTGGGTCCTCCTTCCTTTTTGCATGTATATATGAACTAAGGACGCTGGGGGCGGGGCCACGGTCATCTGGAGGATGGCAACCCTAGAGTGGAATGGGATTTCCAACCCACCCATGAGGCCTTGTGGGTCCTCCTCCCTTTTTGCATGTATATATGAACTAAGCTGCGGTGGCTCAAGTGGTTAAGACGCTGAACTGCAGGCTGTGGAAGGTCGGTAGTTCAGCAGTTCGAGACCCAAGTGTGCCGCATGACGGAGTGAGCTCCCATCTCTAGTTTCAGCTCCTGCCAACCTAGCAGTTCGAAAGCAAGAAATTGCAAGTAGATAAATAGGTACCACTTCGGTGGGAAGGTAACAGCGTTCCGTGCGCCTTGGTGTTTAGTCATGCCGGCCACATGACCACGGAAACGTCTTCGGACAGCGCTGGCTCTTCGGCTTTGAAACGGAGATGAGCACCGCAACCCTAGAGTCGGACTGGACTGGCTTTCGAGCAAGGGAACGTTTACCTTTTTATGAACTAAGATGATGCACTTATGTAGGAGCCAAAAGACGGGATAAAACCAGAAATAACAACACCCGCATTCTTTCTCCTTCCGCCAGACCGAGCCAAAGTTGTTCGGGGCCTTCCGGACGTGGCCACCATCATGGAGACTAAGGTAACACTCCTGTTACAGGCAGGATAATTCTTGTACAGGTTATGGGATGTTGCAGACTCATTCTGGAAGCACTAAGCTGCATAGCAGAGGCCCCAACCATTTACAATGCTGCCAACTGGAGTGTTGCCCCTTTCCCCTCCTATGCCCCATTGCTGCTTAAGAGAAACAAGTCCTTAGATGTCTCTTCCATGTTTTCTGTTTTCTGTATGCATCTGAGAGACAGAATAACAATGAGGTAAGGGGTGGAAGAGAGGAATTGCATAAATCGTACTAATTTATATAAGTCTTGAGAGTTACTCCATATTTCTTTGCAATGATCTCCCCCCCCACCCGATTCACAAGTAATTCACCAGGTGGGAGGTCACACGAGCAGTTTATGGTGCTATAGTAGCATTACCTGAGTGGAATAAATGGGCCCCTCCAATGTTCCCGCTAAGCTGTGGAGTCTTGTGAGCAAAAATTCTACTCTGTGTGTTAAAGTTGTGAGCAAGCGATTTGGCTGCTGCATACATTAGTCTGCTCTGGAGCCATCCTTCCTGAGCGAAGACAAAAAATGTGTGAGCTGGAGGCTAAAAAACTGTGAGCCAGCTCACACTAACTCAGCTTAGAGGGAACACTGGGCCCCTCCAGACAAGGACATCTGCCTCCTGTGGGGCAGTTGCCGGCAGCTCATGCTGTTCTGCAATGGAAGTGGAATAAACAGATACCGGCGAAAGTCCAGTATTAACAGGTTGTTCAGGGTTCCTTCTGGGTTTTCTGATGTCTGAACTCTCCTGCAGTAGAAGGAACCTGGAAGAGACATCCGAACCTGCAGATCCATTTCTACCACTGGGGTGTGATTTTTTAAAAAAGTTTTTGCCTATATGTGCATGAGCACATATGCATGCACATGAGCACGTATGCGCCCACCTGCACTTTAAAAAAACAACCGGGCAGCATGCTTCATGGCTGAGGTGCTGCAATAATGTGGATGCTTGACCAGGGGATGGCCGCGTGGGTAACCTGCAGCAAGCTGTACTATCTGGATGATACGCCCTGCAACATTTTTAAGCGGTTACAATCAGAGGTGCCACCATACCGCGCCAAGCCGCCAATGTGATTGCAGCCTTGGTGAGAGCTATGGCATCATCCACCCGAACCTGTGGGTGGAACTGCCCCTATGAGACAAATGCAGGGGTGGCATTTGCAGAGAACTACTGGTCAAGAAGGGAGTCCTTAATCACTGGGGTGTATCCTACAACTCTGCTTAGTATGCACCCTTCGTCCACCGAAGCCTTCATGGGCCCAAGTAAGGCCCAGTCCCCACATAGCCATGCAGAACTGTAGGACACACCCCACAGGCCTGTATCTTTACTTTTGCTCTTTGATAGACCCTATCTACACACGTGTGTTTGTCCGAATCACATCTAAAGTGGGGGAAGAGAAAGTCAGAGGACCACAATTTAAAACATCAAAGCTGTGTGTGAGCTAGAGTAGGGTTCCCAGCTCTGGGTTGGGAGATTCTTGGATATTTTGAGGGTGGAGCCTGGGAAGGGTGGGGGTTGGGAAGGGGAGGGACTTAATACGATAGACACCAATTTCCAAAGCAGCTATTTTCTCCAGGGGAACTGATCTCTGTAACCTGGAGACCAGTTGTTATTCCAGGAGATCTCCAGCCATCACCTGGAAGTTAGCGACCCTATCTAGAAGCCTAAAACTATCCTCTGCTATTAGGCCTGCAATTTCTTCCAAAGCCCTAGCCAGGCTCAGATACTAGCTGAGCTAAAGAGTCAGGAAGAGGAACTGGGGAAGGAAAGAGCAGCACCCCCTGCTCACACAGCCCACTCCTACATGCATCCAACCCCCCCACCCCCCAATCTGTTACTGTCACGTTTGAGCCTCAAAAGGCATCCTCCTGCAAGGGGACCATGGGAACTGTAGTTCAGGGCAGGCTGGAGATAAGGTCCTTTAACAGACATCCTTCCCAGACTACAATTCTCATGATTCTTGGGGGGGGGGGGGGGGGCACACGGAACGAAAAAAAAACT